GGAAAAGGGCACATGCATAATAGTTACACTGTTGAACTAAGAAATGGCTGTATTAGGGTGATTAAATCAATTGTTAACATCACCAAAAACAAAGCAAATATTCCACTGTTTCAAATTCAACTCTTTCATACCGAGGTAGCCAGGTTTGCCTCTGTGTCACTGCCTCATATAAAAGTTGTTGTACAAACAGAAAAACAAATAGCTGCCAAACCATGTGATATAGTCCGAAATGTTGTTTACATGGGACAGTGCAACAGAAAGATGTGTTATGTGTTGTTACAACCAAACAGTATTGAGATAGATTAGTTGGTTTTAACTCAGATAGAGATATATGAACTTCTATGTAATCTATGTATACATTGACAGAATTAGAAATAAGAACATTTCTTTTTTTAGCAGCCTCATTGACAAATATCTTTCAAATGTAATGATTAAATTAAGTAATGTTTGTTAAATGCTATGTCTTTTGGATCTGGTATAAAAATATAAAAATAATTTATCTACCGGCATTTTTTGGATTTGTTTGTGAAAAATGTATAGATTTTTTATAGTAAACATACTGTTGTTCGATCACTCAACAGAACCTTAAGTACGATTGTGATGTCCACAAATTAGTGAATTTGAAGAATTATATAAATGTACAGAACTGAAATTACATATATTTAATTTGAATGCATTATTAGAAACAATTTATTCTCAGTATGAATTAACATTCAGACTGGTAATTCATATAGAAAGCAGCTAGTATATTGTAAGATCCATCCATCCATTTTCTGAAACTGCTTATCCTATTCAGGGTCACGGGTGGTCCCATAAGAAATATATACATTTCCAATAGGACTGTGAATATTCTTATAGAACCAAACAGATTTCCTATAAAGTCGATAGATTGTCCAATAGGATTTGGATAAATTTATTGGAATCCTAAAGGATTCTATTGGAAAAGGTGAAAATCCTAAAGGAATTTTTGACTAGGGGAATGAGTGCTACAGAAATATTAGCGAATATTAAGGGAAAACCCTTAGCCTCTCAGCATATACAGTTGTACGAGCCCGCCCGAACTGAATACAGTATCTCTTATTTTTATCTTCACCACCCACTGTAGTGCCATTACTGTGATCTTCTGATCCATCTCCTTTACCGATAGCATTCATTTTAAAATAAGACTTCCCTTCCCATCATGCAATGGAGACGCTTCGATTTTGGAATAGACTAATACAGTCGACATTAAATTATTTTTGCATCAAGTCCAATTTTATTTACTTTTAATGCTGTAAAACAATGCAAAAACTGTTTTTTACATTAGTAATATCATGCCATTTTCATTTTATTATTTCTTAAAGATATTTTGTTTGAACCATTTCATCTTGAACTTTGACTATGGCTCCTCCCTTCCCTCATTATGGTAGCGTCTCCCCCGTCCGCAGTTCTTTCATTTTTGTCAAGTCGCTGTAGCCATGAGGTAAGTTATCCACAGTTGGTTTCGTGGGAATTAACTAAACTTATTTCAAGTAAAAGTGGGTTTGCTTTTTTACCTTATGAACGTTTTTCCTTTTCACCAATATATAATAACTGAAAGGAAGACATTTTTGTGAGATCGGTACTCTCGGCCTAGCCAATGTGGTTGGATACCCATGTTAAAAATGGTCGGTGCCATGCTTGGACATGTCACCCTCGCGTGGATGTTAAAATGTGTTAACGATTTTTGTTTGTTTGTTTGATCATTCGTTTAATTGATCATTGTGCAGGATAGAGCATTTGTGATCTTGAGCTGTAGTACAAGCGTAGACCTTCCGGCTGCGTTTGCGCCGTAAATGCCGCAGATCATTTTCTTATCAGAAAGCTTACATTTAATCCTTGTAGCATTTGTCATCAACTTTGAACGTTATTCCAAAACGTGTGTTAACTCTACTTTAAGATACCCGCTAACTCTAACATTGATCAGATCCTGTGTCATCCTAATGAGAACTGAATTTATTTTCACTTTTAGAAGATAATACTATCTGTTGAGTCTTGCACATTTACTTATCAGAAGAGAATTGGAAATCGATGTATAATTCCGACATACTGTAACGTTATGGTCAATGTGACTGATAGCGTGACAGTTTTCTGCTGTCCCCATCCGGGTGCCTATATTTAGGCCAGTCATTTCTCGTCCCTTTCCAGTATGCTCAGGCTTCAGAAGCGGCTGGCGTCCAGTGTCCTGCGATGTGGGAAGAAGAAGGTGTGGCTCGACCCCAACGAGACTAATGAGATCGCTAACGCCAACTCCCGTAAGTAATTTCATGCGATGACACCGTCAACCCCTCTGAAACTGAAAATATCAGTTGAGGTGACATTTGAAAACTGATTTTTATCTAGAATATGATTGGGCTGTATCTTTAAGATCTTTGATCTTTCAGGCCAGCAGATCCGTAAACTAGTGAAAGATGGTCTTATCATAAGGAAGCCTGTGACAGTGCATTCGCGAGCACGATGCCGTAAGAACACTCTGGCACGGAGGAAAGGCCGCCATATGGGTGTTGGTGAGTTCTGTCTCCTGTCGACATGTAGCTGTGTCCATGATCCTGCTTTTAAATTTTAGCTATTAAAGACGAATTTGTGTCTGTTGCTGGGCTAACACACTTGTGCCTCCCTTCTTCAGGTAAGAGGAAGGGTACAGCCAACGCCCGTATGCCAGAGAAGCTGTGCTGGATGCGGCGCATGCGGATCCTGCGTCGCCTGCTGCGTCGTTACAGGGAATCCAAGAAGATCGACAGGCACATGTAAATTCAGTGATGTATTGATCACCTGCGTCGTAATGTTATACATATAGAGCGATAGCTGTGTGTTTGACAGGTGCAGATCTTTTAGGGGCTGTCAATTTGTGTTACACACAAAACTGTTGGTATTTTAGGAGATACAAATAGGATTATGAATGATACTCTGCTTTTGGGGCACTGCTGTGATCAATACTCCCTGCCCAAATGTGTCCTCCAGGTACCACAACCTCTATCTGAAGGTTAAGGGTAATGTTTTTAAGAACAAGCGCATCCTGATGGAGCACATCCACAAACTGAAGGCAGACAAGGCTCGCAAGAAGCTCCTGGCGTAAGTCTTGGATCGTTGATGTGCATTATTGCGTAGCATGGTGAATAACAGTGGGCATTGGAGAATGGGGAAACAAAAAAACTGCCTGATTAGGTCGCTGAGGGGCTGCTCTTTTTTTTCTGGCTAAGGTACCTAACTTAAAATGCATTGCAATAAGCAAATTTCATTATACTGTTTAAAATTACAGACCTGTAAGTAAAATTACTTAAAGTACACTAAAGATTGGCGTATAGCTCAAACGACGACCAAACAAAATGTAATGAAATACTTTGGCAAGAACAGTCTGACACATATTTATAACATTGCTTACATACTGCTTAATCGTCTGTTGCATCAGTTTTTCATCGTAATTGTGGGAAAATTTAAACACAATAGAAACTGCTTAAAAATGAAATGCTTAATGTTTTTTTTGTTATGTTTTTATTTTTCTACCAGGCTTCAGTTAGATTGGTGGGGGAATTAGTAAGGATAGTGTCCTTTCACCTCTGACTTTTTGCTCCTACCCCCCACAGTGATCAGGCTGAAGCTCGCCGCTCCAAGACCAAGGAAGCCCGCAAGCGCAGGGAAGAGCGTCTCCAAGCCAAGAAAGAGGAGGTCATCAAGACTTTGTCCAAGGAAGAAGAGACCAAAAAGTGATCATATTTCCACTCTTTCCAGTGCTAATAAAGTGTACAGAGATTTAAAGATGGCCTGCGTTTTTTGCATGTTATTTTGCCTTCTGCCTATTCTATGACCTTGTTCACACCTGTTAACATGTGTCCTGGGTGATCCGATAACAAGTGGACACCACCAAATACAGGTGTGAACAGGAAACGCAGCCAAACCGCATTGAAAACGTATAAAAATCAGATTGCCCAAACCACATTCTGAGGTAGTCTGGGACGCATATGGCCGCATTCTTACCAGAGGGTGGATGCGAATGTGTCCCGGGCTGCATTGAAGGAGCGCCCATGCAGTTGACGTCCTCGTGGGCGTAAGAACTTGCGTACTCAAACGCTCGAGCGGTATTTAACACGATTTATGTAAACGTCTGTCTGCAGCATCCCAGTCAGCACAAGTATGTCAGTGCTATGTTGTTGATGCGTTTTTTGAAAGGTCGGTATCTAGTAGCATTTCAGACGTTTGCACATTGGCCCTACGTAGCAGCGTTGAAACAGCTCCGTCCAGGTGATGTAATCACGACGTTTTCCTGACATCCTCTGTGCAATGAAAAAATAATAGATTCTTATAGAAAGACCTGTAAAAAGTATTTTAAAAATCTCTGTAATTGAGTTAATAGTAATTCACTTAGAAATATAATTGGTATGAAATATAAACTTAAAAACACCTTGAAACTTTTATTTAGACTAGGGAAAAAAAACATTTCCAAAATCAATCTAAAATAATTTAATTAAAATGGATCATAAAGCATTTTTGTACAGTGCACTTGCCATTGTTAATGGTGTGTCTGCAGGACTTATCCAAAAGGGAGGTCTTTGGGAAACAATCTGTCAGGTGTTGGACCTGACTCTGCAACTCCCTCAACATTTGCAGAAGGATTCTCTCTGTTGCTGTAAGGTCAACAATACAGCATTAAATATTTAGACATATATCGAGACAGATGTTGATGTATATTTGTTTTCAACTTATGTGTGCATTGACTTGGTATAAGTTGCCCTGTGGGTAACCGAGTTCTCGAAGGAACATCTGTACGAATAAGACAGTAAAAACAAGTCATATTACTATATTAAATAATATTATTATAGTAATATTACTACTTCCAGAGGCAAACAAACCCTTTTTTAAACAATATCAGATGTAATGCGTAGTTTTCCCTACCAACAAGCGACCTTTGACTTAAATGCGATGATCCGACGTTTTGACAAGTAACGCTTTTTAACACCGCGACTGTCCGAAGTTTTCACAAATAAAACGCTATGTTTCGTAATGGAACGCGATCCGATTGCGACCATCCGCCGTTTATGCGACGTATTGCCTACAATCTGTGCTGACAGGGATGGGCCACTGAGTAGTAAACTGTATTGTGAATGACAACGCATCTTTCTTCTACAACACCAAAAAATGTTTGAACCAATACGACTATATCGGACTGCCGCGACCCATTCGTATGGAAACACTACTAAAGTGTGCATCATTAAATGTCCCATGCAAATTAGGGAAAAATAAATTGTGTACGAAGTGATTTATTAAAGATGTTTTGAAATTTGCACAGATCATATATTTAATGCACACTTTGATTAAACCTTCAAAGCTGCTCCACGCTTTATTAGTATTGGTGTGACGTCCCGGGAAAAATCACATGAACGCAAAATCAAAGTCTGTAGGTAAGAATGTGCGTTCAATAGCCTAGCTAGTTAATGGATATGTTAATAGAAACATATAATAATAGTGCGATAGTTTATATTAAGCTGTCCGCGGGCTTGAACTCCCGGTCAGAAATCCAGTTCCACTCCGGTGCTGACTACTTTGCTCCTTTTATTTCGCTTGCTTCCAGTCAGATATATAACTCAGTATATCAGACAAAACACGGAACCTCTTGGCTGAAATTTTCACAAATTTTTAGCTTCATTGGTTATGATTAAAAGCCAACCAACAAAATGCATTCCCTTTTGATTTCTTCTCCTTTTAATATTTGGCAAATTTTGCATACGGAATTGATTACAACAACAACAACAATAATAATAATAATAATAGATACGTTATTGATCCCCGTGGGGAAATTGTGTAAAGTTACAATTTGCGGGAAAGTGAGATCGAATACAAACGGTCAGTCAAGATGCATGCGGAGATGCATGTTATTGCCAGGTGTAAACAGGGCCTGTGACACGGATATTCTCAAGTTGTCTTGGACCTTTGTTAAAGTGATTTCATTAAATGCAATTAATGTAGTTTGAGTTATTTAAATCCATTGCCTACTAAAATGGTCTGTGTAATAGTGGCAAAATTTAAAAAGGAAAGGGGGTTGGCAGGCAACAGAAATAGTTTCACACTGAAGTGTTCTGACCTCTCACATTTCTTGGATGGCATGCTCGCTGGTCGGGTAGTGCTGTGGCCTCACATCCATGGCTGGGTTACCGTTTCAGCCCTTGGTGCTGTGGCTGATATGTGTGTTCTTTCTTAGTTTGTATGGGTTTCCTATGACTATTCTGACGTTCTCCTGCAGTCCAAACATTGGTGGTTTGGTGATTTAGCAGTTCTTTATTGCCCATTGTGGGTATTCCCTACATTAGGATGGCACCCTGTTTGGAGTGTCCCTACGTTATGCCCTATACTTCCTGGGATAAGCTCCATGCTCGCTGTGATATTGTATTGGATAAATGGTTCTAGATGGATTAAAAACTAAAGTCTTCCTAAACTCCATTCTGTTAGTGTTGGTGTGTGGCTCTATGGGTTAAACCTGTGCATGTGATCAGAAAGTCTTCAATTCAACTCCCATTGCAGACAGAGTGCTGCTGCCATTGCCTTGAATGTGGCTTTTAACCCCAGATGATCCAGGGACTAGATGTCACATCGAAAATTTGAGAAAAATCCAACCTGTCATGCCCTGTGTCACGTTCAGCTCCGAACGCTCCTCGTGTGTGCCACGCCCCCTCATTACCTCATGTCGAATCCTGATTGTCGTCACCTGTTCCCTATTCCGTTTGCCTTGTCTTATGTATTTAGTCCTAGTCTCAGTCAGTCTTGCCAGATTCGTCATTGATGTATTGTCATGTTTGATGTGCCACGATCATGTGCCACGATTATTGGCACCCCTGGAAATTATAGTGAACACAATGTAACTGACTGTAAATTGTACATCTTTGAGTTGAGTGGAGTGAATAGGATACTTCAAGCTGTAATCCATGACTTCCTGGTTAACAGGGATACGAACATGAAGTGGCACAGAGCCCAAATTCCCTTAGTCATTCATCAACATGGGAAAGATAAGAGAACATACAAACCAAATGAGGGAGAAGTGTGTTGACCTTCATAAGTCAGGGAATGGGTATTAAAAAATAGCCACCTGCCTTAAAATGCCTATTTCTACTGTTAGGGCAATAATAAAAAAGTGGACAACAACTGGAATTGTTACAAACCTGCCTGGAAGAGGACCCAAGTTTATTTTTCCCCCATGTACAGTGAGGAGGATCATAAGAGAGGCAAAAAGAAATCCCCAAGGGTGACTGTTGGTGAATTACAAGACCAAGTAAAATCTTGGGGTTACCACGTCTCTGAAAAAAACATGCTAACAGATTATTTGGAAGGTATGCCAGAAAAAAAAAAAATTGTCAGTTAACCACAAACGTAAGCATCTGGAGTTTGCGAAACACTACTACAACTTTGACTGGAACCAAATTCAATGGTCTGATGAAACAAAAATGGAGCTTTTTGGCAATAAACATAAGGTGGGTTTGGCGTAAAAAGAAGGATTGCTATAATGAAATGAACCTTATCCCAAATGTAAAATATGGTGGACGTTCTGTGATGTTTTGGGGCTGTTTTTCCTCCAAAGGCCCCGGAAACCTCGTTAGGGTACATGGCACTATGGACTGTAAAATATGGTGGAGGTTCTGTGATGTTTTGGGGCTGTTTTTCCTCCAAAGGACTTGGAAACCTCATTAGGGTACATGGCATTATGGACTCCATGAAATACCAGGACATTTTAATACAAAATTTGGCTGCCCCTGCCAGGAAACAAAAACTGGGCCATCATTGGATCTTCCAGCCAGACAGTGATTCTAAGCACATGTCCAAATCAACACATAAATGGTTAGCTGACTGCAGAATCAAGCTTTTGTCATGGTCAGCTCAGTCCTCTGACCTAAACCCCATTGAAAACTTATGGGCTGAGCTGAAGAGCAGAATGCACAAGAGAGGGTCTAGGACCCTGGATGATCTGGAGAGATTCTGTAAAGAGGAATGGTCTCAGATGCCAATAAATTTATTTTAATGAAAGGTTGGATTTTTCTCATTTTTTTTGTGTGATATGAAACTACTTCACCAAAAGGTGGATTTTTACTAACCCATTTTACAAATCTTTAGAAGGAGTGTCAATAATTGTGGAGGGCGCTGTATGTAGATAACATTTTAATAACTTTCAAAATCTCTCAAGTACTTATGGGTCACAACTCAGTCAGAACATGTAATTTTCAGTATGTACATTTTTGTCTTAGAAGTATTAAGGATTCAACCAAAAATAAGTTATCTGTGCTGTGCAATGCACTTTAACGTTGTATCTCACAGGCTTAATTGATCAATACAACTATCTGCAATGAAATTAAACGAATTAAAGTACCAAGAGCTTAATTGCTTAATTGCTGCATGTATAGGTATGGTCTTCAAGTTATTTCATGGATAACCAGAGATGCTGTAAACTTGTAAGAGATTTTAGCACAGTTTGTGTCTGCGAAGAGGCTGTCAACTTGATTCTGATGGAGAAAAATATTTCTTTGGTGCTGTCATGGAAACCAGCTAGAGCATTACTCTGATGCATTGTGGGAATGACCTGGGACCAAGGGTAACGTAGCAAAGTTTCTAATACACCTGTAAGGGGTGGTTGTGACAGCATTGTCCATGCTGGTGAGGACTGTTATCTTTACAGGAAGCTCATGCAGAGCAACATGATTTCAAATATCTGGGTTTTGGTGTTATATGATAAGCAGTATAGACTGGACATGCTGGCTCAAGAGAAATCATTGGATATGCAGC